GAAGATTGACATCTCCAAGTATAGGGGAGTCGAAGAGGACTCCCTCTTGAGATGGTTCGTCGAATTGGATGACGCCATAAGGGCGCGTCGCATCGACGACGGGGATATGCAAGTTGCATTTGAACAGTCGAATCTGGCAGGGCGTGCCAAGACTTGGGCACTGGGGCTCAAGTTGCACGACCCATATGCGTTTGGGTCGTTAGAAGTCTTCAAGACGCGGCTCAGACAAACTTTTGAACCGCCTAGAGCTGAGTTCAGAGCTCGAACTGAACTCTTGAAGCTCAAGAAGGGTAAGCGTGATGTGCACGCTTACGCGCAACATATACGACATCTCACGAGTTGTATAAGTTCCAACCCGGTTGATGAACACACGTTGGTTTCGGTGTTCATGCAGGGTCTTGTGGATGGTCCTGTCAAGACTCACCTGTTCCGACTTGAATTTGAGTCACTAGAACAAGCCATTTCCATTGCGGAACAGGAAGACTTCAGTCTGAGACAGGCTCGCGCCAGCTCGACATCATATCGTACACCGAGACGATATGACAACGGAGGTCCAGAGCCGATGGAACTCTGTTATGTAGAGAGCGAGAAGGCTCGCTCTACAGACTACAAGAAGTTGCAGAGATGCAACAGATGTCAGAAGACAGGACACTACGCTTACGAGTGTAGTGCCCCTCGTCCAGTGTCTCGCAACACTGGGCGTAATGACCGTCCACCCATGAGAAAGGGGCAGGGACGCGGGTCCGCTGTTGGTGCAAAGACGCAACAACGGGATGGACCGTCAAAAAACGGACAGGATCAGTAGGTGCGGAGCACCCTACTGGTCCAGCAACGTCAAGAGAATTTGTAGGCCTCTTGATGAAGGTTGCTCCCAACACACAAACCTTGTGCGTTGCTGCTCTAGGTAATGAGATCTCATTCATTACCTTGAAACTCGAAGTGACGAATAAGTTGTCCCTTCGAGCTCTAGTCGATTGTGGGGCGTCCAACAATTTTGTGCGACGCCAATCGCTAGAAGATGGTCACTTTAAATTCAGTGAATGTGACACACCTCCTAGGAGGATGACGGTACGTCTTGCGACAGGCGCATCCGTAACCGTCATGAAGCGTATAGTGAAGATCCACTATACGCTAGAAGATACCCAATATGACGATGACTTTATCGTATTGAATTTGGATGACAAATTTGATGTCATCCTTGGAATACCGTGGCTCAGAAGGTACGAACCACGGGTAAACTGGCAGCATCGAACAGTAACGATGCCTGCCGCTTGTTCATCAGATGGCCATCTGATGAACGTTTTGGAGCGTCCACAAGCGTGTGGATGTACTACGAGTGAGTGCGATGGCCTCACTTGTGTTACGGTCGTTAGTACGACTGCACAAAACCTTAGTGTAACAAACAGTTACACTTCGGAGCAAGATTCCGGCGGCTGTGAGGACACACAGGCTGCGCCGAAGGTCCACCGCTCGAATAAGTCGGGTGGACCGGGACAAAGGTTTATCTCTAGCGGGGAGCATCTAGAAGAGAAACAATCGATTGCTCAGGTTAAGCGAAACGATAATCCTAGATCGACTGGAGAGTCTTTCGTAGAGGATCTCGCTGTGGTTGCGCAACCCCAGCTAGAGGAAGTTAAGGGAATAAGTCCCGATATTACAAATACGGCGGAAATAAGTTCCCCGAAACGCGAGGGAATAAGTCCCCGGGAAGCCGAAGGAATAAGTCCAGTGAAGCCTGAGGGAATAAGTCCCCAGGAAATGACAGAGACATTGAATGTCCTAGTCAATGATGGATCAAGTGTAGGCACTTATACACTTGATCTGATTGCGCCTCCGAAGTTGACTTCGGAGATCACTCAGTTGCCAACGCTCGAACATAAAAGATTCTTGCGTGATCTGCGTAGTGGCAAAGTCAAGCAGATCTGCGTACTCGTCGCTGACGACGAGTGTGTAACCGACATAAGGTCAGCAACAGTGTTCACTGAGAACGAGAGAGTTCTCAGTAGTTCATCGATGGACGAGAGCGTCCTCGATGAAAAGACACGAGCTGAGCGATATGACTCCCAATCGTGGGAATCGCTCAAGACAAATCCTCTCTATGAAGATTTGGTTGAATTCAAGGATTTATTCCCTGAAAATGTTCCGTGCGAGTTACCGAAGGATAAAGATATTCGACTCGAGGTCGAGCTTAAACCAGGCTCGAAGTACTGTGTCACGAAGCAGTGGCCACTGCCTCGTGAACAGGTCACAGCGATCGACAAGTTCTTTGCCGATCGTTTAGCTGCGGGCCATGTGAGGGAATCGTCTTCCCCACATAGCTCTCCGAACTTCTGTGTGCGAAAAGCAACAAGACGGTGGCGGATTGTGCATGCATTTAACAAGTTGAATGCTGCAACGGTACCGGCTCAGACGCCGATACCAAGGAAGGACGTAATCATTGATGGTATGTCAAAGAGTACCATCTTTTCGTCCATGGATTTGATGGATGGCTTCTATCAAATCCTTATGCTAGAACGGGACATACCCTATAACGCAGTAAGCACGCCTAGCGGCATGCTCTGGGAATGGCTAGTAATGCCACAAGGGCTTAGTAATGCCCCTACCACGTTCAACAGATGTGTATCACATCTGTTGAGACCAGTACGAGAATTCGCACCGAGTTATTTCGATGACGTATTCATCCATAGTCGGGCTATGGATGGAAAGTCGGGCGTTGAGGTTAACAGGTACCACGTCCGACAGGTTCTTACAATCATGCGAAAGCATCAATTGTATGCAAACCTCAAGAAGTGTATACTTGCAGCAAGCGAAAGACCACTTCTTGGGTGCATCGTTGGTAAGAACGGTGTACGTCCTGATCCCGAAAAGATCAAGGCGATCACCGACTGGCCTGTGCCAGCTGATTTCAAAGGTCTTCGAAAATTCCTTGGACTAGCGGCGTATTTGCACAAGTATTCACGCAATTACGCCGAGATGACTGTACACCTCTCTCGTTTGTTGTAAAAGAGCGAGAGGTGGTTATGGAACGCTGAATGTCAGCGCTCCTTTGATGGTATCAAGCAGAGATTGGTACAATCCCCAGTCCTAGCAATTGCCGATCAGGACAGGCCATTTCATGTGGTCTGTGATGCCAGCGATTTCGCAATCGGCTGTGCATTAATGCAGTACGATCTTGAAGGCGTTGAACGCGTCGTCTGCTATCAGTCGCGTCAGCTGCAACCAGCTGAGCGGAACTATCCAGTGCATGACAAGGAACTCCTTGCCATGAAGTATGCACTCGCGAAGTTCAGAGTCTATCTATTAGGAGATAGACCCTTCATTGTTTACACTGACCATGCGTCATTACGCACGGCAGTGAACAGCCCGCACCTTTCACAACGAATGGCGCGGTGGTTGTCATTCTTTGCAGAATACAACTTTGCGGTCGAGTACAAACCAGGACGAATTAATGTCGTCGCTGATGCACTCTCACGTCGTCCCGACTTTGAAATAGTCGTGAAACCCAACAGTGAGACAGTCACTGTTGCGGTTATGACGTCCTCAGTCCCATCTACAACGTTGTACGATGATGTGAGGCGGGCATACGCCCAAGATGGTGAGATTGTGAAGTTGTTGACACATCTCTCCCAACCATCTCGAGAATCGTTGAAACGATTGTCGTCTGCGTATCGATCTGCATCAGATCGATACACTACTCGTAACGATTTGTTGTATTAAACAGCCGTTTCTGGTGACACACCACGTGTTGTCATCCCAGATGATACTGATCTGCGTTTGCGGATCATGTTCGGGTATCACGATGTTCCTATGGGAGGACATTGTGGCCGTGATAAAACATATCTCACGGTGAGTCGAGACTTTTACTGGCCCCGCCAGTATCAGTTTGCGCGCAAGTACTTTCGCGCATGCGAAGTCTGCCAACGAGTGAAGTCAAGTCCTTCACTGCGTGCACCTTTACAGCCTCTACCAGTTCCGGCAGAGTGCTGGAAATCCATCTCAATGGATTTTGTCTTCGGTTTACCCAAAGACGCACGCAAGAATACGGGTATTCTCGTATTTGTTGACAGATTCAGCAAAATGGTACACCTTGTGGTTGTACCAGAAACAATCACAGCAAGTGGCTGTGCTTGTGTCTTTTTCTACAACATCTTCCAACTTCATGGGTTACCCCGTGAACTCGTACCAGACAGAGATCCACGCTTCACAGCTGATTTCTGGCGCTCCGTGTTCAAATCACTCGGAACGCGCTTGAAGATGTCGACATCTGATCATCCGGATTCAGATGGTCAGACGGAACGAGCCAATCGTGTCCTCGAATAGATACTTCGAGGATCCGTACACTCCTTTAAGAGTTGGAGTGAGTTCTTGCCAATGGTAGAGTTTGCCATTAACAACTCGGTGCATGCGTCCACGACACATACACCGTTTTACGTGAATGGCTTACGCCATCCGCGTGTACCCACCTTACTAGAGTGTAACTCTGGTTTAAGGGGGGGGAGGGACTCGCGCGAGCAAAAACCGATTTGGTTCACGCTCATCACGCTCTGACGATGAGGTCATTGCGTTTGATGCCGATATAGATAGCATCGATATCGAAGAAGATGATGCCAGTGAGAGCGCGGAAGCCCTCACTGAAGAAAAGATTGATGTTGCTGAAGTGTACTCACAGCGCACTGAAGCTAACGAGTCATCAGATGAGTTCATACTGGCTCGTGAAACGGTAGTCCGTTTCGTGCAAGACTCCATCGCCGAAGCGGTGGATAAGCAAAAGCAAAACGCTGACAAGAATGGAAGATCAAACACTCTTTTATCTAATAAAGGTGACTTAGTCCTACTGTCTACGGTTAATCTACCAAAGCATGTAGTGACTAACTTGGGTAGTAGTAAACTTCTACCCAAGTACATCGGCCCATTTCGTGTATTGCATCGCCTAGGCAATGCATACACGAGCGAATTGCCACGTAAGATGCGAACGCATCCCACGTTTTACGTTGGTCGGCTTAAGCCGTACCATCAGTACGCTGCTTCTTTCGATGAAGAACGCCCTTGCGCTCAAGCATCTCACAGAGAGACTTGTGCTCCCGATGGTGTCCATCGACAAGGGTCTGATGAGCAGTTATCTCAGCCCGAGACCGGTCAACATCCCCACGAGCTACCCTCTTCTCGTCACGCAGAGACGTCAAAACTCTCTCGTTCTCAAGCTGAGCAAAGGCAAACTCATCTCGATGCTTCAAGACAGTGTCAGCCAGTTGAAGACGCCTGTCCCGCTTATGTTCGAGATCGTCGCGTAACCCTTGCGTTACGTGATCAAAGAAGCTCTCGGGAACACACCGATCCACATGATCGTGTGGAGAGCGTCTTTCCTCCTCCTCCACCTCCATTAGAGGACTCTCGCGGTGGCCATCGCTATCTAGTTGAGCAGCTGTTGAACCACCGCGACGTGAACGGACGTCGGACGAGTTATCTCGTCCGGTGGCGCGGCTATCCCCCGTCCTGGGATACTTGGGAGCCCCGCTCCCAACTGATGATTGACGTACTGGGTCTGGTTGAGTAGTACGACGCGGCACATCCTGTGCCGCAGAAGTACCGCCGGAGAAAGTCTTCCCGGCACGGTCGTAAAGAGATTTCAGGTTGTCAATCCCTTCGTACATCTCACTAGAGATGCGTTCGCGCCACCACGGGCTAGTAAGGAGGTAAGCCTCCTTAGGTGCGCGCGCAGAGTTGTTTACACAACAAGGGCACGGGTCTCCCCAGAAAAGACAGTGTAACCCACTCTCCCTAGACAGACGATGCAGCTTATAGCGTGCACCTGTCGGGGTTCTTTTCTCAAACTTATCACGAGCTTTGATAAGTTTGTCGTTCCAAACGTCACGACCTACATCCTCAAGATTGTGGATGTAAGCGTTCCACGCTTGAAGCAGTGAGGGACCATCACGTTTGCGATTCCCACTGTACCATCGATGTTTAAAGAAAGCATCGATGAAGAACTCATGTTCAGCGCGATAGTTTTTCGCACTGGGGTCAAGGTGATGGATCCTTGACGACTCGAACAACCGTGTTCGATAGCGATCACTTGTCGTCGCCGACAAGCGACCCATGACTGACTTTGGATGCAGCCATGCTTCTTTTCGGGAGCGAGACGCAACACGCTGCGGTCCCGCTCTTCCTGCGACGTGCCGACAGAAGTACTGGTACCTCGTTGCGAAGTGGTGTCAATAGGAGAACCGACACCACTGTGAGCGCCCGAGTCTTACGATCTCGAGCGCCTTCGCTTTGGCGATGGTTCATCTGATTCATCAGATGAACCAAAGATGCTACGACGCGTAGCATCATCCATGCCACGCTTGGCAGGCGGCTTGTTTTCAACCGCCTTCGATACGGATCCCTCTTCCGTATCAGGAGAGTATGAGACACCGAGCTCATACTCTGTGAAGACATGAGTGTCTTCATGACCAGCATCTGCATCACCAGGTGACACAGACTGAGACGCTTTAGCGACCGATGACACATCGGTTGCAGCGGTTTCTGCTTCGGCATCCGCACAGAGACGTGCAGACGCGCTCTCAACTGCCTTGTTCGCGCACCGCATGGACTTGTTTACCACGCGAAGAAACTGATGGACTGTGGACTCGGACCAACAAGTGCAAACCCTGTCCCGAATGATTTGGGATGACTATCCATTTAGTCGATCAGTCACTAAAGTGACTGATGGTTAAGGGGGGTGATGTAACGGGGTGAACCGTTACATAACAATTTAATAGAAATTGTCAATAGAATATAACTATAAGAGTTATATTCTACAGAATATTGTCATAAGGACAAACATTGTCATAAGGACAAACCTTCTGCAGCACTTAGTAGTAGTTTATAATTGGTTGATATAGGCCATCATATCAACCAACGAAGACGCGCCACGACAGACGCACGCAATGAGTGGTGAGCAGATAGTTGATATGCACATTTGTATTTAGCCATAGTTAAATGAGGATAAACAGTGGTTTATTAACAGACATTAACTATTATCAATAAAGTTCTACTTTTTACTTGAACTAAGTACTCGCTTCTCCTGACCGTCTTCCTCTGCACGTACGAGTGTACGTGAAGTTACGAGGCACCGCCTTATTCTGTCGTCAGAATAAGTAGCTTGTACTGTCATCAGTACAAGCTTCAGGGTGCCCCGTTACAATGCGGGCCCTACCGGCTTCCATGGCGACTTCCTCTAGCACAGCGACGTCATTCTCTACGTCCATGCCCACTGACACATGAAGACAATGACGCGCGTACTTCAGCCCTCGGGCAGGTGTGCCGCCGTTTCGCGATTTAGATTCATAGATAGGTGCACGAAAAAAAAGCGAGCGGCTCACGCCATCATGTGAAGGACCTGCCCTCCCGCGTTGTTCGTCGGTCCATCGAGCGTCACGCAAATGAATTTGAACATGACGATCACCCGGATCGCCTCCTTTTGACTGACCATGTACTCGTTGCTGAGTAGTCGCCCGGCGATGGCGTCAGGTTCTGGGATGCGGTACGAGGGTCGAATCTTGGCTAGCCATGCCATCCAGTGATCTCCTTTGGAAAGCGTGATCGACACCGCTGAGCGATGCATCGCGCTCAAAGCAGCTTGCCAGCTTCATATCCGTCATCTTTAGTCAAGGAGTCACACCAACGAGGGGCAGCGGACGATATGTGCGTCGCCGACGACAGCGTAGGGCGCTTGTTGGGTCTGATCTCGATCGACTCGTCGTCCTCGTTCGACACATACTGGTGCGATATGCGCCCTGCGGGTAGCAATCCAAACTATTCGGGAACTGGTAATAGGTGAACCAAGTCGGCAAAAGATAACAACGAGAAATCTAGCGATGTCTGGCGTACCCCGGGGCAGTTGTCGCTGTTGGCGTGTCGATGGACCCATTTTTGGCGCCGCACGCAAAAGTCTTGCTGGAGTGTTTGCATTCAGCCAGGTCGCATTTCCTGTTGCCTATCAATAGTATGCGATTGGACTGAAGATTAAGCGTCGAGGTCAATCGCCCGACCATCGAGAAAGCAGATGAGGTTAAGGTTTGTGCGCTGAGAATTTAGAACATTAAAAATGCCTCCCTATTCCATGGCTCAATTTAAATACCATTTTAAATGTCCATTTTAAATGTAAAAAAATAATGATCGTTTCGTTCATCGCACCATCGAGCAAGCGGAGTTCACCTTGACACGGAACGGGAATCGAAAGCGCACGGAGCACGTGATAGTAATAATTGGCAATTCAGCGTAAAGCAGTTACGGCTAGCAATCAAAGCGCTTGTGCGAGCTCATCCCTTAGACTGCGGAAGCTGGCGAGCTCGTCGTCAAAAAGTGAAGCCTGGGAAGGTATGTCGTCGCTACCTTCGCTTGACAGCTTGCCCGGCCTCTCACCTGCAACAGCACATGTAGATCTGCTCAGCTTCGGCGCGTTCTTGAGCTGGCGGAGAAACGCGCCAACGGCTGCAGTCTCTAATCTCGACGAACAGTTGGGTGAACTTCCTGACTGTGTGTCGCTAGCAACCGTCATCGAGCCGTCTCCGAGCGCAAAAGGCAGTAGCATGTCCAAGCCTTCGCTCGAAAATCCATCACCTTGGACAAAATTCGCACCTTCTCCATCGCGACTCTCTGAATGCAACAGTGGAGGTTGCCCTCCAACCACACTAGCCTCAGCACCAACAAGTGCGAGGCTGAACAAATCCGGCGTAGTAGGTGAGATACCCCATGTTGTCACACCACAATCACCAAAATCCGGCGAGAACCCTCGCAACTTCGCAGAGATTAAGCTTTCCGATGGTGGCCCCTTTGCGCCATGGAGTCGCAGCTGAAACTGATCGGTCGTAATGTACGTGGGCATGTTGCTCGAGCCGGACTGAATGCGGCTCTTGCTGTTTGAGTAGCCGGGTGACGTGGAGAAAAGCTCACATGGATTCGCTCGAAACGGGGGACTTGCAGAGAACATCTCCAGATCAACTGTTTGTGCACCATCATGAGAACACAAAGCGGCGCCTGCTTTCGCAGTGATACCCACAAGGGCGGTTGGACTGTGCGCCCGAGCCACTTCAGAAACGAAAGCACCATTGAACGACATACGTCTGCGCCTTGAATCATGCTGCTGCAACAGATTACTCTGAGGATGACGAGGTGGGGTCGACAAGGGGTGATACCCCGTGGTGCTGTTGCTTGTCGTTGACTCGTCGTGAGCGAAAGTTTGAGGATCACGTTGACGAATCTCGCTGTCCTGACGATTTGTACCTTCCCATAGCTGATGCTGACGTTGCTGAAATGCGACCGATGGCGAACACTGGTCTACACTACACTGTTCCCGCTCAATCGCAACATTTCCGTAGCCGTAAGGTGCTGCAGTCACATTTGGGTCCACGGATGCACCCCGCAATCGACCGTCCTGCTCGCCACCATACGAATGCGCGTGCTGAAGCAGTATTCCACCACTTTTGTCCTCACCGTACTCAATTCCTGTCCCCGCGTTCAAAGTATCAGCAGTAGTAATGCTTCCTTCGACACTAGCCCGTGGGATTGCCATAGGCTTGGACACAGCAGGCTGATGACACACTGCTGCGACTTCCCTGGTTCGCTTGCAATCCACACCTGTACTATCGTAGTGCTGCTTCGAACCAGCGACAGACATAGGAATCGAACGAGGCGATGATCGACATTGCGGTAAGTCTCTCACGTCGTCGTCACGGAGCAGCTGAGCGTCACTTGTGGGTACAAAAGATGCTGCAGGGGAACCTGCTTCTCTTGTCGGTGACGGAACCAACACTGCCCTCGTCCACGATGATTCAGGAGCACTCGCAGGGACCAAGTCCGATGATCCTGGCACATAATCCTGTATAATAAAGTTGTTCTGCAAGATACGCGAAGGCGCGGCTTGCTCCTGTTGCTCTGTATACTGACTGCAGTCTCGCCGATACACAGTCGCTACTTTCAGCAAGCCAAACGGCGTCGCAATCGGAATAAACGCGTACCCACTTGTGGCTACATACTGCGCATCAAATGCTCGCGCGACGTCACTCGCTGGCACTGCGTGTATTGTGTAGCTCAGCATTGAAGGGTACGATTGCGCAAACAACCGATGCGCTGGAAGCTGCCGCATGAACGAAAACAAGGCACGCAAAAGCACGCTGATCTTCTTGCAGACTTCCTTAAGTTGCTGGATCACGTCCTGCGTCGAGCTCACACCCGAGCTCGAACTCTCTCCTTCCGCTGCAAACGTGACGCTCCAGCGCTCCAGCAACACCTTGTGACAGCTGCCAGCTGCTCCCTCCCAGAAAATGTCGATCGCCAGTGGCAGACGAACATCGTCTCGCCACGCAGCCATTGCATCTCGAACGATCGGGACTTCTTCAATATCCAGATTAAATCGAGCTCGACGGCTACTGCGCCGCCAATCAGGCTCGGCCTGGAGGTTCACGCGGCTCTGGACAATGAGCTCTGCTGCCTTGTACAAGAACTCGAGCACCACTTGCTCGGTCTTGGATCGACCCGCTGCAGCAACATAAGCCACACACAGTCAGCAATTTGTCAGTATACCGGTAGTACCGGTATTGTCGAAACAGCTCTATTGTAAATGCAGCAATAAGAAAGAAACGCATACACATGCAAATGTACCACAGAAAGCGGTCGAGCGAGGCGGTCGCACGTTCAATGAGCTGCTGTGTGAAGGAGGAGATAGAGAAGCAGGGCCTTGGAGCGCTCGACTAGACACGTCCATGGACGACAGCAGACGAAGGTACGAAACCGGTACTCCAACGGCTTTTTAGCAGGACTGCACAGTGTCAGTGACCGACGACGACGATCGTTTTAGCCAATGAGAGGGCGCGGTTGGTGGATTGAGAACACTGCAGAGCAGAAGTGTATCAGTGGTCCTTTGTCAGGAAAGAGAACGTGTGCGGAAAAGCTTTTTATTGTAGGTTAAACTCAAGTACTACCTGGAATCGTTCTGAGCATTTAGCTGCTATTTGAAGAAGGACCTGTGAAGGAGCAAACCTTACATTGATCCATTCATTGCGTCAGAGCGGAACGAATTCTGAGCATACATTCCGGACTCGATGGCAACGATGCTCACAACTATCGCACTATCGATCAATCAGCGCAGACGTAACTTGTGTTTTCGTTGTGTAGCAAGTCGAATCCGGCTATTGGTACCTTCGTTGTAAGCAAATGTGCAAATATGGGCATACCGCTCGACGGGTATACCTGTTTGTCCGGATTCCGGAGTTTTTGACGATATGGTCAAGTTGTAGGCATTAAATCTGAAGCATGGGCTGGTAGTGATGAGACGATGGGTTAGTTGTTGCTTGCAATGTCACACTCGTTCAGATCCGAACGGTCCATAATGACCTCCACCATACGCGGGTCTACGACAGTCATGTACCACCAGTTTATGAGGTTCGTGGACGGGTATAATCCACATGAACGCGCTGTTTTAGTGTGAATTCATCAGCGGCGGGCGTTCAACAGCTTGACTTGCCTGATCCTGACTTTCGCCGGATGGGCACATACTTGAAGCTGTCGTGGCTGCTGATGTATTCAGTCGCAGCGTTGGAGCAATTATACTCTTGAGTGTAAACGCCACCTGCATCGAGCTGGGACGAGCATCTGGGTCCAGCTGTGTGCAATCCATTACCAACTTGCAAAGTTTGGGCGGGCAGTCCGTGCGCAGTGTTACACGGATTTTACCGAGCCGTACAAGCTGAGCTAGCTGCATGCCAGGTAATCGCTCACCTTTGTCAGTCGTCACGTCTGAGAACGGTGGCTCGCAGGTGTCCATCTCCGATAGCAACACTCCCAACGAGTAGATATCTGCCTTTTCCGAATACTTCTTGCCTGCGATGATCTCCGGTGCCGTCCATAGTAGTGTCCCTACACCCGATGTCATCGTCTCGTTGACACGCGTCTTGCGACTGACACCAAAGTCGCTCAATTTCGCTTGGAAGTCGCGGTTTAGCAGTACATTCTTGGGCTTGAGGTCGCGGTGCACAATCACGGGCCTCAAGCAGTGTAAATATACCAACCCCTCTGTAATGTCCATAGCAATCGAGATCTTCTCATGCTGCCACGAGAACTGCTCTCGCTTTCTCTTGAGGACCTCATCCAAGTCACCTGCATCCATGTACTCCACTACGGCGCACATGGTCTGTAGCCAATTCCAGCATACGCCGATGAACGAAACAATGTTCCGGTGCTGCAGTAAACCCATGAGCTTAATCTCTCCGGCAAATTGTTCCAGACTGGCTGTCAGCTGACATTTCTCCGGCAATAAGCGCTTGATCGCCACATACCGCGTCTCAAGTTGACCTAGCCACACTTCACCGTAAGCTCCTTTCGATAGGATACGCAGAAACGTGAGCTCGTCGAAGGCGATACGTTTCATCAAGACATCACGATCCTGCACAAAGTCTGCCAGTGCCTTTGACTCGTTGCAGAAATCGCCCACAGTCTTCCCCCCCATTCCAGCGCCCATGCAAGTTCCAGCCATGGATGACCGATACCCATACACTGTTGATGCAACATTACTTGCGTTGCCAAGCGTATTCAACGACGAGTCTCGGCCTCGGTGCATCTGCACATGTCCTTTATTGATAAAGTGTAACGAATTCTCTGCACAGCTATCGACTTTTTTTCCATGCCGCCCGAGAACTCGTACTTCATGTTCGACTCGACTTTGTGATGGACTTCCAATCTGACTCTGCTCTTCTGTCGTTCCCATCACATAAAGCTCAGACGGCTGTCCGGCAGTCTGCATTAACTTCTTCCGATAACGGCATACGCCCAGCACTAGCAAAACGAGGAGTACAGTAACTCCGATCCCAACTTTCAAATTCCGATTCATGTCATGATTGCCATCCCTATCATCATCCAAGTGCTTGATGACCTTAACCGCACGAACTGATTCAAGGAAACTTTGCACTCTAGCAGCATCGACTGTAGGCTTGCAGAACCCCGACGTATTCGTAATGGATGTCGGTACGTCCTCTAGACGTAGACATGGGATAACGGCATCCAACGAGTCTCTACTATTACATGAAAGACTTGCGTCATAATTGCGCATATGGATCGAATAGACCTGCAACGTCTTGGTCGGATCATTCATCAAGATGCTGTGCTCGAAAACCTGTGGGTACGGGATAGTGTTCGAAGAAGAAGATGATGCTGCTGAAGACCAGAACGAAGCGTTAAGGACCGTTTGCAGGGCTGCAGATGTGCCGTTTACTGCACACTGTATTGCACTCGTAACATTGGCCATGCAATTGGCGTTTGTCGCCTGGTAAGACAAGCCGCAGCTCGCTGCTTGACACTGCCACTTGGGGCCTGTAAAGTCTTTGTGTGACACGCCCATGTTCGCCATTGCCACGCCTGTTGCCATGCCTTCCATACAGCGGGTAAAGACTTCGAGAAGAGCATTGCCAGCCTTGTTCCCGTTGGTTGAACCACCTGAGAAGACATAACCATGGACCCACAGCAGTCCTACCTTTGCAACGTCGTTTAGCTCGTTCCAGGTCAGGTCTGAGTACGCAGACAACGTCGTTGCAACATCAATGGGCAAATCTTCCTTTGAAGGTGCTTCTAGCACTGCCAAGTCATTCGGAAGGCTTTCACAACGAGTCAGAAGGTCGCTGTTGATAGATGCACCAGCAGACGACACTTGAACCGATGCAGTTATTGTGAGGGTTGTCGTCATAGCTAGAAGCTGCAACGTGCGACTCGTATAACGCATCATGCTACTTAAACTACAGTGGATTGACGACGATTATAAGACTGAAGAGAAGCAGAGGATAAAAGGCGACTAGATGCTGCCCAGAGCAAGTCGGTGTGCGGCTACTTGGCAGCAGGTTGGCAACTGGTGAAGATCGATTGGAACTTGCGAGTCTTCCGGACACTGTCACGAGCAGAGGGATCGTGTTGACCAGAGGCAAAACGACAGTGGACTCTTCCCGTCATCGTTCCGTTGTTGGTGTTACTAAAGAGTAGGACCCTTTTCGATACTTGTTCCTTGGTTACGACGCTAGGTGCAATCTGCGCGAGAAGAACGGCGACGTACCTCCATTTATGTGCAACAAGAACAGCTGGCGGTCACGTGCGACTTGCTTTGGCTACTGCACCTTACCGATTGATTGCCAGTGCATTTGCACCACCGGATTTCATCCAATCACATACTGTGTTAGTGCTCACTTTGTGTCGTCTTCTTCTTTTCATCCAATCACATACTGTGTTGGTCTTCATCTTCTTTTCATCCAATCACGTGCTGTCGTAGTGGTTATTTACTCGAAAACAGAGCTGCTCGTCATGAGCGACGTGGAGCTGCTGCTGGTGCGCATTGACCACTTCCAAGACCGCGCTAAGTACGTTTCCATGCTGCGGGAGTGGCTAAAGGAGCTCAAGATCGTGAATGGGCGTTTGATTAGCATGGGAACGGACGTGCAGCTGCTGTTTGTCGCTGCGTCGGAGACGCAGACGTCGCGACTGCTGGAGTTCTATCGGGATCGAGACATTGATACGAACCGACGGGGAGAGCTGTGTGTGGACAAGTTTATTGACGTCTTGGGGTCGAAGAAGGTCGAGAGCTGTAGCTGCAAGGGCTTTGCAGAGATGAATGTGCTGGTAAGAGAGAGAGAGAGAGGGAGGATGTGTGTGAAGGAGCTGACTGATTCCTTGCTGGTTCTAGAGCTCGACGTTGCTGCAGAAGGTGTTGGTGCAAGAGTGGCAGGCTGAGCAAGAGTGGCTGGATACGGCGCTGGCGACTGCACGGACTAAGGCGTTTCTTGCGTGGAAGGAGGCGGCGAAAGCTGCACGCAAAGACCGGAGGAAGAGGGAGAGGCAGGAGAAGGAGGATGCGAGAGAGGTGAAGAGAGCAAAGAAGGAGCAGGAGGAGCTTGAGGGAAGAGGTGAGGAGAAGGAAGCAGAGGTTGGTGGTGACGTAGGACAAGTCGAAGCCATTCAGACGGAGGAGGGTTGTAGGCAGCAGGCAACAAGAGTGGTGCCGAAGCAGCGGGGGTCCAGCAACCGACCGTCAAAGAAGGCGTTGAACCAGGAGAAAAAGAAGGTAAAAGGAAGTGTGTTAAAGAGAGCAGAGGTCAGTAGTGGTGTAGGTCAAGACGCAGCAATTCAGATGGAAGAGGATAGTATGCGGCCGACAACAATAGCGGCGCCAAAGCAACGGAAGACTTTGATACTGGCAAAGAAGGCGTTCCGACCGAAAAAACGAAGGTAGAGCTGCGACAAAACGCGGTAAGGTAGGTCTGATCTTTCCTTGACCAAGCACCGAATGAATGGGACGGAACAAGTCTGTCGATGAGGACGACCACTTTTTTTGCTTGGCATCATTGGCATTCTGTTTCATGAGGATCGCCAGCTTCAATTTGAGTGACATCGGCACGGCCACCGTTCCATTCACACACGGACATAAGACTGCAGCATTACGTTAGCAGTCAACTGATGACACAAAGTTTGAGCGCATGGTGAAGACACGTGTCAGGTCTGCCGTTTTGTACGATCGAGTCCGAGTGACTAGAGGAGCTTGGTGGCTTGGAATGATCAACAACTTGCTGATACTATTCCGTTCGAGTCACCTACGATCTCATGGGTACGTACGTAATGGTTTCCGATACTTGCACTATCACATGAACAATAGGTCCATTTGCTCGAATCACCTGCTTCTCGTTCGAAAGTCCCGACAAGATGTGATCATCTACAGCAACAAAATTTGCAAACTCTTAATCTTATGACCAAGTGTCTTTGCTAGTTAACGTTGCGAATCCAATCTTCTCACAGTGGTTTTCGTCCGTGGTATATCATGAACTAAAGAAAGTGAGAATTGCTGGTCGCTCACCTCTTTCGGTGGCACTGCGAACTCCCTCAATTTAGTTTCGCTCTAGCAAAGACCTTTGTATGTTGTCGGCCGCACTTTGTGGTTGATGGTGCTATCGAGCCGAATCGTCCTCCGTCTCCCTCTTCACGTCCGTCTCTTTAGAACATCAAGAACATCATAACGTACATAACAAACGACGAACTAATGGTATGAACGACTTCGGCCATGTCTTGTTCACAGGTGATGCGCCTTGACAAGAAGTCAGTAGCATCTCGAAATATCCGCCGCTTAGCACCATCGAAGTCAGGACTGCAATTACCACCTGTAGTCCAGCTATTATACCAGCGGAAAACACTGTGAAAAGGACGTCGTTCATTGAAGTGTCCGATCGATACCAATGACCTCGTATAGCTCGCGCAAACGTCTGATGTACCTATCGGTGTATGAGTCGAGTGACCGTCATCATGCAAGTGGCGTCTTGTCATTCAGCGACTTTAGAAACTAGCGGACTTAGGAGTCGCATCAGCTGGTACTAGCCCTGATGTTTGAAAGTCATTTACTCTGCATGATCCCAAAAGCTACCAAGGACTTTACTAACGTACATAAATGGAGGATTGAAGAAGTCCAGGTCAACACTTCGTGCAACTGAGATCACCGAGGACCAGTTTGGTCAAGCGATACTGATAACAAGCCAACCACGTTGGCGGTGTTCCCCTTCTACCCTTCATTACAATCAGCATGTCGGTGTCGACCCTAGATTCCAGATATTCGGTATCCCAATTCATGAAACCCACCTGATCCTGGCTCTCACGAGCACTCGGGCACATGGCAATCCAAGTTTGTACTCATACAAGACCTTCAGCGGGTGAGCACCATTACCATCGCCTAAGCTCCAGCGCGGCGCTTCTCAGCAGCAGCTACTGCCTTGGCAAGACTTTGCTCAAAAGGCGGATAACACACACCTTCTTCCGTAATAATACCAGTCAGGTATCGATTCGGCGTCATGTCGAACGCCGGGTTGAACACTGGACAACCTTCAGGGGCAATACGCACGCCCTGAATACACGCAACTTCATCAGCACTACGCTCTTCGATCGGGATGTTTTTCCCATCCAGGAAACTCAAATCCACTGTGCTCGTAGGCACACAGGCGTACACGGGCACCTTGTTCTCCCGAGCGACCACGGCGAGTTTGTACGTCCCAATTTTATTCACAACGTCGCCATTCGCAGCGACTCGATCGGCACCAAAGAGCACCACGTCGACTTTGCCCGTGAGCATAAGAAGTCCCGCTGCATTGTCTGCAATAAGGTGCATTGGCACCTGTTCACGCATGAGCTCCCAAGCCGTGAGACGAGCACCTTGTAGACGTGGTCGCGTCTCGTCCACCCACACGTGGATGTTCTTGCCCTGAGCGTGACACTCGTAGATCACGCCAATGGCCGTGCCAATATCCACAGTCGCCAACGCACCAGTGTTACAGTGGTGCAGAACATTGCTCCCCACTGGCACCACCTCAGCTCCAAACTCACTCAGGCGTTTATTGATCGCCACGTCCTCTTCAGCCAATGCCTGAGCGACCGTCAGCACAAACGGTGCGAGATCTTTCACCGTCACTTGGGGTTCTTGCTGGATCTTGAGACGAAGCGCTTGAATGACGCGGTCCGTTGCTACAAAAAGTCAAGGTAAGCCGTTATGGTCAGAAATCGAGTTGCAGTTATAGTGGTTGAAGTATAACATCAGACTCAATGTTTGTATGTGAGCTAGCTAAAGATGTACTTTATTGCATAAAAACGCGAAACTGGACGTACCCCACGTGAGATTCACAGCCGTTGGCCGGGCCGCGTCGATCGTCGCTTTGGCCTGCTCGACCGCTTGAACAAAGTCTGAAGTAGAGCCATTTCCAGCAGCCTTTTGCGTGGCGACAAAGTGGTTTGCGCCCAGTACGAGGCCAAAAGCTCCAGCCGCCCCAATGGCCGGTGCCCCACGCACGACCATGTCAGCAATAGCGTGCGTCACGTCGTCAACAGACTTGCATTGCAGTAGAACCAGCTCGGTTGGTAGTTTGCGCTGGTCAATGAGCTGCAGGCCGTTGTCGATCCAGAGCACGGATCGTTGACGCGAAGAGGTCGCCATTTCGTTGTGAGGCGAGGTGAGACTTTGGGTTGACACGTGGGTAAAGGAATGACTGGTCACGGGTGCACGCACGGCCCTGACTTTTTTAGAAATCCCGTAGCGGAAGGAGAGAAAGGATGGGAGTGATGTGGTGGGTCTCTCTCGGGCCGAAAAACCAGGAGCTCCATGCGAAGATGAACCAGTGCGAAGTGGAGTGGCTCGGATCCTATGACGGTGCCGATCGTCGAGTTCTTGCTTGTCGATCAAGGCGCTCTTGGAACTACCAACGCACCTTTCGTTGACAATGCCGAGTCAAGAGGACGAGGACAGCAGATAACCAAAAAGCTGGACGAGGAGCCCCACCTGCCAGCGTCTCGTAACGGCAGCTTGATCTCGTTGAGCATAAATATAATGTACCCTACCATTCCGCGGCAGGGTTCCTCCCTATCGTCGTCCTGTGCTTTGTCGCTTTCTCGAAACCATGTTTGCCTCGCTCTGCATGTGCTCCATCTTCTTCTTCTTCTTCATCTTTCGCTTCGCACGCTTTTCTGGTTCTTCGACGTGCATGACACTAGCGTCGAGACGGACCTCTTCGTTGAGAACACGCAACCACAATAACTGCTTATCACTCAGTCGGTCTCGAGGTCCCTTGACTTCCACGCACTTCAAGCTCGCAGCACAGCTGTGCTGTACAAGCTGAAGAACCGTTTGTACCATTGACACATCCAGCTTCTCCGCTGGTAATGGCTTGGTCTCGTCCAGCACTTCGACGCTTGACCGAGTTTTCTCGTTCATATTCAAGTGCTCATCCATGCCGCAAATCGCGTAGATATTTAGACAGTCGTGACTGTCAACGAACCGTTGCAAAGACTCCAAGTCGGGACATGTTGCTTGACCAGACAGCTTGATCCGTAACAGGAGAAGATCAGGCAGACCGTTACGAGCTTGGTGATACTCTTTTGACGTAGCCATGTATCGCAATAAACTCGCTAGCTCCATCCGCCCTATCGCTGCGATCGTTAGCATGTGAAACTTTAACGAAGCTCCTTCGTCACTTGGCCAATGCACAAATCGAGTCACCTTGCCAAACTCAGCATTCCATCGTGTCAGAAATGCTGTCAGCAGTTCCTCCATTGTCCATTTCTCCTGCACTTGGCTGATCCGCTGGTCGATGAGATCTCGTCGAGCCTCATAAAAAACATCCGCGTAGCCAAAGTCTAAAGGACCAGATTGAAAGGGCGTCTGGAACACGTCCGGAATCCTCGCGTACAGCACGTCCCACATCAAGATACCGAACAGATTGCGGAGCACAGAACCTTCAGAATGCACACCATACCATCCTCCAGTCTCTGCTTGTTTGTTGTTAGTATTGACGAGATGGTAATCCCGGTAGTATTGCAGAACAAGCTGTTCAATCGTGCACGGCTCGTCATCGTATCCCACGAACCGCGACTTTTCTCCCGTTTGGCGATTCAGTGGACGGCCTACAATGTGTTCCTGGCGATACTGGTAGGTACATTGCGCCTCAGCTGGCATCGTCTTCTCGTCGTTATCCTCGTCGTTGTCGCTGATAACCACAAGTGGAACCAAGAAACTCGTTCCAGTACTTTGCAGCATCAGATCAACAGGAGACGACGACTTGATTCGATGCTCTTCTTGACGAGCACATTGGCGACGCAATCGATGCAAACGCCTTTCAACTGCAATTCGGTCGGCTGCAAGCACGTGTGGATCTTCTAAAGCATTCACACACGTGTCGATAGCTTGAGTCGAACACTTCATGTGCTCCAAATTCAAAGCCAAGCGGTCCCACCAATACCCGCGCTTTCGCTCAAGAAACGGTGATGCGAGCATTTCGTTGAGCAGCAAGGTAGCAATTTGGTACTTCCGCATCTTTTCGTACAAACCCACTGCAATGTGCAAGATCCGTACCAAGTGGTAGCCGGCATTACACTTGGAAAAGTAGATGGGAACAGCCGAGAGACTGTATGCAGCGTTCATCCACTTCAAATATGCATGGAGACAGTCTCTGCTAGCGAGCACCAAATCATCAAATGACTCCATCGCTTCGACTCCGCGATAAAACTGTTCCCAACTGCGCATTTGCCAGTTCTCAGACGCTCTGTCGTCCTTGTTTGCTAAACTTACCACAAGCACAACGTCCTCGTCCTCAGATTCAATAGCCTCCTTCTCCTCCTTCTCCTCACACCAGACAGACAACAGTCGTTGGAATGCAAGAAACGCTGGTGGTGCATCTACGAGCATCCACTTCAGCTCTAGGTCCGGTTCTTCGTACTGCTTTTCCGGCGGCAAGATACAAAGACACTGCTTGACCACGCTCATGATGCGATGCAGCTGATACGCAACCTCATAGCACACATACGCTTCTGACGAGGAAAAGATAGGGTGAGTACTTCGTATCTGCGTATCATTGTCACTGACGTCAGAACACTGGGTGACGTCGTACGTTGGGTAGACAATTTTCTGGAAACTGACCATCAAACCCGGCCACTGCGTCGGTTCTTGCCGCAATTTCTCTGCTGCGAACGCAAGCAATTGACGTCCATCTTCCAATTGCACCGACACCAAGGACGCCATATTGAATGGAGGCGTCGAGACAAAGTAGAACAGTCGATGCATCCGCAGCATCAAGTCCCGCGTTGCAGGTGTCAAGCGCAGCACCATCACGTCAGCCAATTGTTTTCCCGCGAGAGGGTACGACTCGAGCCAAATACTGCTGCATGAACTGCGCGACTGGAAGCCTCGAGCCATTGATCCGTTTCTGCGTCTTGGCTACATTTCGCACAGCAGCCATCAAGTCCACTTTCGTCCCGTGTTTTTTACTGCCCGTCATCTTCTTGAACAGTATCGAAAGCTCTAAAGTTGAAGCACAACGAGCGACAGCAGTTAAAACCGTGTCTAACGTAGCACGTTCCTGTTCTTGCTTCAGCTTATCATTGTTAAACCGATCGTGGTCAGCAACTGTAGCCATGTGAGGCAGGCGTGACGCCGTCGACGTCACGGGAAAAGCTTCGACAAACCCCGCATCGAGCATAACCCGGACGACACGTTGCACGTCGGTATTGTTGACTGACTGTACCAGCTGTTCGCGTCCTGATTGCGTTTTGTCGAGGAGCTCATCCCTCTTGAATTCGATCTCGTTGTAGGGTATAAAGTATCGGAAGAGTGACGTCGTCTTGATCCACCCTCCTTGACGCTGAAGTAACCGCGCGTACAATTGCTGCTCCAGCGGCTGGAAATCCCCAAGGAATCGAGTTGCTAGTGCTACTTCTTCCGTCGAAAACACGTGGCAAAAGTCCTTGCGCTCGAATAGAATCGAAGACAGCACGAGTGTCACGTGGCGCGTGTACGCGTCATCCCACGTCAGTGGCTCGTCTGTCTGCTGTCGTCGTGACGACGTCGTGGGGACCAGGGATGACGTCATCATGACGCGTCGTTGCTGTCATTTTCGCCAACAAGTGTAGCCACTTGAATTTGGTCGGGAAGTCCCTCGATCGAGTGACATACGAACTCGTGTTCTGATTCGTACTTTACGTACCTTTGAGGGTACACACTGGGGCTGCTCTCCCCCTTTCAAAAAGACTACCGCCCCGTGGGAATCAGAAATCGCAGGAATCGATTAGAGAGGTAGACGCCACGTCCAGCGTGATGACGTCCCACTTCTCGCCGTCCAAGCAAGAAGCCAGCGACACTTTTGTGTCGACGCCAGTTTCCGAGTCCATCGAAGCGTCGATACTTAGCAGTCTGCCAGTAGGCACCCCCCCGGCCACGCTATCGTCTACGGCGCCTACTTCAGCTACTGCTACTTCACACCCGTCGAAATTACGCCGACCAGGCAATGGCAATGGCAATTTGACGAATTACCAGCGTAAACTAATATGTGAATTTTACCGTAAAAGTGGCGGGGTCATGTCGCAGAAAGATTTGGCCCAGTGGACCAAGCACGAGTTTAACCTCAAGAAGACGCCGGCCCAGTCAACAATATCGGGCATCCTCCGTCGTCAGCACGAGTTTATCAACATGAGTTCACTTGAACTCGGTATCAAAAAGCGTCGCGTCGTGCAGCACCCGCAACTCGACAGTGCATTGGCCAATTGGGTCATCCAGATGGCCGGGCGCGGGCAGACGGTACAGGGCGACTTGACAAAAGAAAAAGCCAAAGAATTTGCCAAGATGCTCGGGATCCCCGACTCGGAACAGCCGGAATTTTCCAACGGATGGCTACATTCGTTCCAATTGCGGCACAACTTTAGTTTTCGGAAATTCAATGCCGATCACCATCAGCAGCAGCAGCAACTGCATCATCCGCCTCAGCAGCTGCTGCTTGGTGGCAGGAGCAGCAGCTCCAGTATTGGCAAGCTGGAGGATGCTGAAGTCGCAGCTGCAGGCGCATCCATTGGGATGACTTCGATGAACCACCCTCGACGCACGGCTCTTGCAACTTCCAAAGTGCTTTATTGGACCACGATGGACGCGCTGTATAATGAAAGCGACAAGTACGACCCGAAGGACGTGTTTGCGGTGGAAGAGACGCCCGTGCTGTATACCATGCCTCCAGTACAGAATGCGTTGGCTGAAGGACGGATGCGCTGCAAGAAGCGCTTTGTCGTGTCATTGGCTGCAAATGCCGATGGATCGGAGAAGCTCCAGCCCCTTTTTGTCTCGCATCGGGAACATCCCAAGTGCTTTCGCAAGAAAACAGCGGAGCAGCACGGACTGCACTACTTTAGTAACAACAAGGCGTGGATAACGGGTGTGATCTTTTCACGCTGGCTGCAGCGACTCGACTTTGCCATGGCGAGTCAGAAACGCCGCATTTTGCTGTTTATTAACGACATGCCATCGCATGTGGTCACGCACCTCGACTTGACAAATGTCGTGGTGTTCATTTTCACGCCTGCAGTCATGCAGATGCTCAACCCTATTACTTGTCGTGTCGTGACGGCGTTCAAAAAGCGCTTTCGTCGCTACCATTTACGTCATGCAATTGACAAGGCCGAAGCAAAAAACGTCATGTTTGACGTTGACGTGCTTCAAGCAATGAAGTGGGCGGCAATGAGCTGGGACGAAATCACGACGGAGACGATCAAGCGGGCTTGGATTCCTACGCAATTGGTGCGCAACCGCGTGCAGATGGACGAGCACGAGTTGTTGCAGGAAGAAGAAGAGATTCTGCTGGATACGGAGCTCGAGCATTTGATGATGTTCTTGCACCTTGCCAATCCTGTTCCAATGATGGAGTATTTGGACGACGAGACCATGTCGGACTACCCAGTGCACGAAGATAAGTTTGACGTTGTGTCTAACGTGTGTGAAGTGCCTGAAGATGAAGTGGATGATGCAGTCGAAGAAAGTCCGGGACGGACATTGTCGCTGCAAGAGAAACTGAAGGCGTTTCGTGATGTGCTGCACGTCTTGAAGGACCGAAGTGATGCCGATGACAGCGCTTTAAATGCGATTCGACGAGTACAAGATGCAATTCGTCTGGAAGGTCAGAAAGAGGCTATGGGGACACTAAATGGTACCACTGGAGACGTGAAAGACGTGTTCGGTCTTGACACATCGAGTGACAGTGCCACTGCTTCTGCTCACGCGATGATGGCACTTGAACCTGACAGCCAGCAGCACATGGATGCATCTGCGCTGCTGGACTCGTCCGAGAGCTCAGCTCTTTCTGCAGCGTCAGCCTCTTTAGCCGAAGGAGCTGGCGACCACACGAGTGGCATGATGGACGGAGCTGTGGATAGTAGCAATCGACAGCAACGTTTCCACGCCGTGATTTAGCTGGCGACATGTGGATCAGGAGGGAGGAGGGGAGAGGTCGCTTAGCTACGTAGGACAAGAAGCTCTCGGGAGAGAAGAAGAAGAAGAAGAAGGAGAAGAAGAAGAAACATGCGCCTTCGTGTCCAGCGTAGTTCCGTACCCACTTTTGTTCGTCATGTCCATATTGCAATAAATGTCGGCATTACAAACGGAGCTCTTGGTGAAACTCGAACCGCTTTCCCATTCAAAGTCGGTCCATACATTGACCGAAGCTGAACTTACTGTCCCGCTCTCGCCCCGTCTCCTCCACCCGTGCAAAGTCTCCGTTATTTCCATTCTCCCGTTTCCACTACGCGTCTTAATACAATGCCAACCGTCGCTGTTGTGCTTTATTATAAATACGTGCGGATCTGTGAGACGCTGGACGAGTTGAGAGCGTTTGCAGCAGTTCATCACGACTTTTGCTCGTCATTGGACCTCACAGGTCGCGTGCGACTCGCGTTGGAAGGGATCAACGGGACGCTTGGAGGGTCCAGCGCGAATGTCCAGTGCTACATTGAGTTCATGCAAGCTCAAGACCCGTTCCTTGACATTGACTGGAAAACCAGTGAATCCGATGTCCCGCCGTTTTCGGACTTGAAAGTCCGCACTGTCGCCGAGATCGTGGCTCTAGAGGTCCCACCTCATACCTATGACTTGACGCAACGGGGTCACCACTTGACGCCCGACGAGTTCCGAGCCGAGCAATTACATGCCGAGCCGGATTCTATTGCCGTTATTGACGTCCGGAACTCGTACGAGGTTCAAGTCGGGCACTTTGCTGGTGCTTTGAACCCAAAAACTCGTCGTTTTGGACAGTTCCCTGCATGGGTTCGAGACCATTTACCACTGCTGAAGCAAAAGCAAAAGGTGCTCATGTACTGCACGGGTGGGATCCGATGTGAAAAAGCATCGGCTTATCTGAAAGGTCTCGGTGTACCAAACGTCTACCAGCTGGAAGGAGGGCTTCATCGCTACCTCGAGCGATTTCCGGATGGTGGTGGCCTTTTCCAGGGCAAGAACTTTGTGTTTGATCAGAGAGTGACTGTGGCGTCTGAAGACCAGTCGATCACGGGTCAATGTGCCCGTTGTCACGTACCGCATGATGCACTATCGGGTAGCCGATGTGCTTATTGTCGGATGCACGTTTTGCTCTGTGAAAGGTGCTGCAAGAAAGCAAAAGCTCGAGGTGAGACGGACAGGGACGTGTTTTGTGACGACCATTTCAAGTTGGTCGCGGGCTCGTTGGAAGAGCTGGCAACACGAGTGACTGTGCTCGAGAAGGAGCTGGTGAACGAACGCGGTCGAAGCAAAAAGGGTCGTCGTCGTTCTTTACGGAAGCAATTGGACACGGTCCAGTGTCGGATACAACAACTGAATCCGATACCTGAAGTGTAGCTCTGGGGTTGTGAAGCAAGTGAGTAGACGAGTTGAGGCAACATTGACTTGACCCAACGAGTACTCGCCAAAAGGACGATCGTATCTCTCTTGCAGCTGTTGTAGATGTTAATTGATACTTTGCAACGTGAGACTTTCGTGACCAGTTGTTCGGCCGAGTCGCTTCCGTCTATAGTGCCAAACTATCGTCGCAGTTACTTAAGAGCTCCTGGGATAGCGATTGTACTTGTTGACGCGGCCAAATGATCTAGAGCTGCGTCTGGTTGTGTGTTGCACTTCATTTGCGTCGTTTGTGCAAGAGAAAAGAGGTAGAGAACACAACTCAATGCGACTTCGCCACGTACTTGTGGTTGATGAGTTACTTGTTCGTTTCAATGTGAGGTGAGAGGTCCGTTAGGACCCATCTGTGCTGCAGCTCGTACACCCCTGGAGCTCTTGCAACTGCATGCGAAAAATTGAAGAACGCAGAAGATGTAGAGGCAGAAATACGCTGTCTAAGGGCTCATAGAACAAGTAGCTGCTTGTACATGAAGGTAGGCAGCACGTCATGGCCAGCGTGACGCTCGAGTCCGTGCCAAAGGTCTAGATTTACTTGATATCCACGTATACCGAAGGTCTCATCTATAAACAATCTCTCGAAGATTTGGCAAGACACTAGCTACCACGCGCTTGACTCGCACGTCGACGGAAAAAGAGCCACAGCGTCAGCCTGAAGTTATGTAACTATGTCAACCACCGTTCGATGGCATGTGGTATACCGGCGGAGACACCAAATGTGAGGACACGCTTCTGTTGAGACGTGGTGCATGTCCAAGACAATATAGTTGCACATTGCACGAATTTTAAGCGTTTCTATAAATATTAAATGAGTTCCTCAGGGTCAGCGTCCCTACGATCACTACCATGAAAATGTCACGATACATTCTCACCGTTCTATGAGTAGCTCTTCAAGTGTGTGGTCCCCATCACGATGTCAAGTCTTAGTGGACGCAGTCGTTGTGTGGCAAAAAGGACACTTTTGCGAGCGCTTCGTTACGACGGATATGGCGCCGATTCGTCGCTGAGACGTTCGATGATGCTAAAAGTTAGCACGACTGTTCGTAAATGTAGCTTGAGACATCTTAAAACTTACTTTACAGCTGTCTGGTGATGGTCGATATCGTCTTTATCATCGCAACAAAAACATTTAAAACTCGTGATTGCCAGACTCAAAGTGACGACCGAAGCGTCTTCGTGCGGCGTTACGTGCAACACGCAAGAGAACGTGAAACGAGCCTGTCTGCTACTATTTTAGCTCAATAGAGCTCGAATCGAGAGCTGTTGTGGGTACATTCACTCTACCGTAACAATGGAATGGTGCTGAATACAAGTGCCAGTAGTAGTCAGCATGTTGACACGAATAAAATGTATCGCGTACGCATATTATCGCACCATTTGCAACCTCGCCTTGCTATCATCCACGGCAATCATTTCAAGCCGTTCGAACACTCGTGAGAGTATTCCGAAAACAGGCCGGAAGGGTTTCGCTTCACCGACCGACCGTGTCGAAAGCGTCGCGTGCGTCATAGTAACGTCGAGATAATCCCAGTCCGCAGTCCGGCCGACGGCAGAAGCGACACGCGCGCTCTGGCGACGCACAAAAGCAACGTCGAAAGGGCCAATCAGATAGTCAGATGGACACACAGGTCAACGAGGCTGCTCGCCTCTACAAGCGTTCGGAAACTCCCTCTCTTGTTTTTTGTATGCTTTCAAAAACTCGTGAAAAGATACGGCAAACACACACGTTCAAATTGCGCAATTAGCGGGTATAAACGGGGCCAAGCACCACTGCCCGCCCAGCATCTGCGCCATGTCGCACCAGAGCCGGGCCACTATAAACTACTTTGGGCAACTACAAACACCTGGTACCACCGAATACGCGCGGCTACGGGTGTCTATAAGCGCTCCCATTGGAGCTGGCGCTGGGCCACGACCTGGGCCACAAGCGCCGCCAGATCTTTCAGCTGTGCCGACGCGCCCACCACTTGCGCCTCCATGCGCCGCACCGACTTCTTCAGTCCGTCCAAATCGGCGCGACGTCGTCGCTTAGCGGCCACGAGGTCCGCGTCCTCCTCTTCTTCTACCTCTTCGTCCAAGCTACTACTGCCCTCGTCACTCTCGTCGCCCGAACTCTCGCCCGACGTGGTGCAGCTGCAGCTCTCGGTAGCGCTCTGTGCACTGTCCTCATGTGGCAACTGACAACAAGGGGTGGGCGTTACAGTACGTCGCCGCTTGTGGCTCAAAATGCGCGGTTGCACATTGCTTGACGGCAGAGACGACTGCTGCGTCAGAGTTTCGGTTGAAGGGCAGCGCGGCATTGTTGTTGGTTGAAGTTGTGTGTAGGGGTTGTGTACAGTCGATTAAAACTGGCAGCGGGCGTTGCTCTTGCTGTTGCTCTTGGGTGCAATTTAGACGGAGAGTGCGCGCTAGAAAGCACAATGGGAAATGGGGTCGACCGCGACGCGAAGTCACTGAGTTCGAGGGGGGTTATAAAAAAATGCGCCAGCCACGACGGTCGGTCGCTTTATTCGGGGAGCAACTACTTGGTCACACTATGTGTTTTGATCCAGCTGGTCACCGGTCGGTCGGTGAAAGTGCCGCCCGGCTTTAGTAACTTACAAATCTCGATGGGTGGCGAACACGGTCGAACTAACCTCGTGATAGCGACTCCAAAAGGACGAAGACCGGTCAGTTGCGGTCGTCTTCGTCGTGCGAAATAGCTTGGGTTTTGTATGGCTTTGCCGGCCGGTCGGTTGGCCTCAAAACACTCCCGGTCGGTCGGGATACTAGAATTAGTATGCTCAGATATCAGTCCCCATCGGTCGAATTCGACGAGCTTCGCCATCTGCAAACGAGAAATCAACTGGTTCCAAAGTATAGGGATGAACGACTTCGAACAACTAGAGATTGCTACGAAAAGGATAGACTTCATGACAAGAAGAAGCAGACGGCAGCATGTTGCCATGTAGGATGACTAACAATACCACGCATCTGTATAAATGCCATGCATCTGTGTAAATGACGCCGTGCATTTTAAACGGTAAAGAAGTTGAACTGTAAGACGTGCAAAGGCTTTAGGCCGACAGAAGGTCAGCGAACCGCCCATTGATTTCTCTCCAAAAGCACACGAACGACGTTATCGGATTGCAGTATCGGAACATGACCGAAGTCGGCTACCGGAATCATCAATGTACAGTCACAATCTAGAAGAACAGTCGAAGTCATGTCCAGGCGAAGCTACGACAGAGCAAGGAATGCCACAGAAATGAACGACCTGATCGTGGCCGACCGTGGTCGTCGTAAAGCTCCTACGACCGGTATAGTACCGGTACAATTGCATCACGGCCAGCCAATAGCTGCATCGGATGGTGATGTCCGTACGCGACAATGTAAATACTGTGCATGGCGTTGCTATCTGCGACATGGTTCACATCAGATTGATGACCTTCCGCTCGATTCTTTTGCCGCACCAGTCACTTGTCCTGAAGGCGTTCGAACGAACGTCCACTTTGGCCCTGGTCTGGCTCGTGCTCAGGGATAGTGAGACTGGTACTAGAAAAATGAAGCAAAAAAACGCCCTGTCGACTGTCGCTGTACGTCACTTGTAAACGGCAAAAGTCTGTGAATTCGCGGACTTGAAGTGGCATGGACTTGTAACCTACTCAAGCCCTAACAGTCTAATCGTCACGTCGGTCTACCTTCTTAGCCCTGTAGTCATCCTCTTCCTGGCAGCTCCATGACATCGTCGTAAAGTACCCGAGATGCTGTCTGCCTCGAATCTCGAGGTCTCGACGTGGTGCTTGTTCGCTGACAAGTGATTGGCGAGCACACACGATGTGTAGCCGCTTCACACTCGTTGGAAATGGCCTTGTCTTTGCCACACAAAGATGCAGGGGTCGATCAACGACAGCTTTAGTGCCGGTTATTACCTACTGCTGTATTAGGTCCTACATGACTGCATCGTATCTTTTTGTACCTCGCACGTGCTTTTCATGCTGCATTATGACGTGCTTATTACCATTTATTTCATACTGGACTGCTATGTTGTGCATGGCTACCTCACCTGCTTGGTTCTGTATGTCTTGGCGCTATCCCAATTATGACAAAACAAACCTATCGATGGCAAAGACAGTGACCGCGAGATAGGTGGTGGGTCCACCACATAAGCCACTGCTGTACTGGAGCACTATGGGTACGCTCAGTCTACATCAGACCCGCATACTGCACAGCAAAGAAACAGCACATCAGTAGAGTTGCCACCTCTGCGATATTACAGTGGGAGACCACGAACGGTTTTGCAACTGCATGGTCTAAACAGTATACACAGTAGACGCTACGCTTCTTCGTGGTCGTCCTTCGGATACTCTGAGTTTCCTTGTATGGCCACAGTAGTCACCCGTGGCAATAGGAGTGACACCAGGTCAACGCTGCCAAAGCCGAGCTCATTTGGTCGCTATGCAAAAGTTGGTGAACATGAGACTGCATGAAGAGTGCCATTGTAGCGGTCGGCAGTAGCTTCGTGGTGAGCCTTGACTATGCGTTTATCGCATCTGTACCCTTCGTCGTCTTTCGGACTGTTTCAAGACAGTGCCACAACTACACCCACCGCCGTGAAGATGACGAAAGTGTGGGAACTACAAACGGCTCGAGTTGTTCACTCATTTCCGTCCACATCGTTCGTGTAGCCTTCCTCTGACAGCACAATACACTCGTAAGTCGCATGGATTAAGCTCTGTCGATGCCAATCGAACCGTGATCCAGCTGAACCAAGAGGTGGTCAGGCACGAGGATAGTGAAGGATTGCTTCGTCGTGTGTTTGAACCTAGCGTGGCACCCGCGTGTCGATTGCAAGTATCGTTGGCTTGTAGCGCGTCATGCGCACAATTGGCACCGCTAGAAGATCGAGTTCGGCATCCATCACGCATAACCCAGTGGCCGCAAGAAGGAGCGATGGCCAACGTTAACTGCAATAATGTATTCTTGCCAGGTCTCATTGTGCAGTGGCAAACGCACTCTGGGTCTTTCCGTCCACAGTTACGTGATGGACGTGTCCCTATTCTTCATGCTGCACATTTGTGTCCACCTTCATTGCAGCGACTGCACGCAATTTGCTGCAACGAGCATAACGCGAAGTGACCACTCTTTTGTTTACATAATAGCAGAGCCGTATAAATCATCGGAGTGGTGGCACGAGCATCTTGTCAGAGCTCTTTTCAGATCGCATGCAAAGTCTGACTCATCTTGTCGGCGCTGATTTCTAGAATAGGGTGCGAGAACCTCGACGGGGGAGTTTCACTGCTTACTGAACCACTGGAAAGACCAAAATTTGTGTTTTGCAGAGGACACAAGTACAGCGCCTGAGTCCATTCTACCGGGAAAACTGGCCAGCTCATTGATGCCGTTTTGTCGTACGTTACGGTGCAACAGCGCGACGGACTTGCGTGCTTGGGAATGAGAGAAAAATGCACGTCACAACGAACGACTGCGTTTTGTGGCGTCCATCTTTACGCTGTTACACGACTAGCGTCAGAATCTGTATGAATCGCGTACTGGTGTGCTGCGGGACTTTAGTCGTGGAACGTCCCAAGCGTTGCTCCTAACTTTGAGGGTCAAGTCCAAGTGAGCTCTTCAAAAAGCCCGTGCTTGCTTCCACGCGCTTGTTCAGCATTGCACCGTCCCGGCTCTCGTTCGTCGAAGTGGTACGACTGCTTGTATTGTCTCTCGTTCTCGCGTTCAGCAGCACACCTAAACCTAGGCGCGCTGCCCTGTCACGCGAAGATCAAGCGCTCGAGATCTGCAGACGTGACTCACCTGGAAACATGCGGTCACCACCACCACCACCGCCACACCTCGAGCCTTAGCGAACGTTTGCTGTCAGTAAGTGTCAATGGCGGCAAACTAGAAAAGTCATGGATCGACGTGATGCCATACTGTGTACTCTCTCAGTTGCATCACAGCAATCGCATGTAACAAATCGTTTCGGTGTCGTCTATAGACGAGAACTTAACCAGCAGCGATCGACCGATCGGAACAACGCCTTGACGTTTGTGGTCCGCCTAGAGCCTGCCGGTAAGTCAATTGATCACGTGTTCGTAGTGCACCGCCCCATCTGCGCATGGAACCGACTCCTGGGAAACAAATTTGACCCTCTCTGACTCGCCCCTTGCGGTTCTATGCATGACATCTCCATGGCATAAGTCACACATCATCAGGTCCAGACAAACCACCTGCCCGCGGCATATTGGTATCGCAGATGCGAGACTCGGCACCTGTGCGTAGATAGCTTACATACAACAATCCAAGCGTTCTCTCGCTGACAATCAACTTCGATGCCCACTTTTTGCGAGGAAGAACGTGAGCGAGTGGTGTGCATGTCCGAGTACCTATGTATTTCTACGGCTATCCAGTCGAGTCGCGTCGTTAGGGCTCGAAAAAAAGCGTCTCACTGCCGCACCTCATATGCCCACAAACACAAGGCTGCTGCGATCTGACCAGAGAGCCCCTAGCCGAGATCCCTCGCAAAAACTAGGCACGCATATCGACGCAAGCCCCTGACTGGGCTCAAAGTGCCGTCGCTCGATTATGGGCACTTAATGGTCGCGTCTCTTGTCTAATTTTGGGCAACGTGTCTGTTAGGGAGCAATCCCCCCTAAAAATGAGCGGAAAACTCACTCACCCGACAGATGTCACATCTCTCTCTATTCACTTTGCAGCGTGCACATGGTCCGTTTGGCTCTTGTCCAGAGTCAGTCGGACGCGTGGTTGGTCAAAGGCAGGAGGACTTTGCGCGACCGTTTCGACTCTGCCGACGTCATATGCTCGACGAGAATAGGTCTCGTCTTCTGCTTTGTCTCTTTTTTTATTACCCCCCATTATGAATACATCGAGTTCTCCAAATCTCCACCCCCCCCCCCCCCCCCCGCCCCGCCCTTTCTGACGGACCTCTTGTTACGAATTGTACGGTCGCTCGATCTGGATCTCTCACGTGACGAAAGTTGTGGTTGTGGCAGCGGGATTTCCGGACTGGCCGTTCTCTCGTCCACTTATCCAACGCGGCCTTTCTCCCCGCGCGCCCGTTTCGAGTGATAGGGGCCGTGTGCAACAACTGGCGCGCGTCCCCCATACAAAGTGCAAGTGAGAGGCGCGCTACAAACACGCGAGTCTCTCCCCTTTTCCGTCTGCACTGGCGCTCAGTTTCCGACTCGAGCGCGAGCGACTTCACACGTGGAGGAACTACTGAACGATCGAGTGAGCGACTGGTTGATTGACTGACTGACTGACTGAGCGAGCAAGCAAGCGGTGTCCGACTCGATCAATCGCGTTCGATTTTTCTGCTGCTTCGGTTTTCTTGCCCGTTCGCGCAGTCTCTTTTTGCGTGTCCATCGAGGCGGTTTATACTCTCGTCCACTAAGTGGATCCGCTCGTCCACTCATGGTCTACGGCTCGCTCTATCGTCCACGGCAGCCGCCGACGCGACCAAGCGAGACGACGGTCCGCAGTGAGTCGCAGCACACGTCATCACAGGACGTACCACACTGGTCCACTAACTCGACCGCGAGTGCCGCCAGCGTCGCCCCGGAAGCGTACCTCACATTTACCGACCAACAACAGGACGCTTTAGTGCACGACGCACGAGCCAATGCCGCAGCGTTATTGGTGGACGCGGTAGCGGACGCGGACAAGTGGCAGTTCGTGACTACGCGTGGTCCACTCAATGTTTACGAATTACGAGCGGACGCCATGCATCGCGTGTCCAGCATGATGCCAGCGGACGCGTCCCGTCTGCCCCACAACATGCACACCATGCTCGCCACCACGCGCGTGCGGGCGACGCTGGACGATTTCATGCGGCTCATGGCGTCTGCTAAGCGGGACACGTTCCAGAACGTCCAGGCCGCGCTGTTCCAAGAGCGCGTGCAATTAGCGGACGTGTTTACGAGTTTCGGGAGTCTCCCGAGTGGACGGAGCGGACGGAGCGGACGGAGCTCGTCCACTTCGTCCACCGGGAGCTCCAGTGCTGCTCGATCACCTCGTCCAGGCACAGAGACGGAGCAATACGCCATCAAGTACGTGTCCATTAAAGGCCGGAACAACCGCTCGCACTCGGGGGCCGCGTTAAGTGCGACGTCAGCGTCCACGTCGCTCAAATTTGGCGGCAAGAATCGCCATCGGGAGCGACAGGCAGCTCGGCTCCATCACCATCACCATCACCATCATCAGGGCAAGAAAAAGGGACTCAAGGGATCGGCAGACAGTGCACAGGAGGAACAAGGACTGACGCTGTGTCTGGCCGAGTACGCGACGATCCGTCGCGCGCGGCTGCGGGGCCCCATGGCCCATAACCAAGCACAGGACTTTGACGATCCTCGTGTGGGGATCATTTCGCAGCACTCGATCGAAGATCCCGCGGTGACGCGGTATTGCAAACCCATTATGACGTCTGCAAGTGCTGGCAGCAGCTCGACGACCACGTCCAAGTCAACGTCGACGTCGTCGTCGACGTCGACGTCGTCGTCGTCGTCGTCGTCTTCGCAAGCAGCTGCTGCTGACTTTGCATTGACCGCAAGAGCTTTGATGCAGTTTTCTGGTCTGGTTGTGTACCCCGTGGCGTCGTCCGTAGCTGGGGATAATGCTCTCGAAGTACTGATCAAGCTCAGCTGCTACGATGCAAATGGCGTCACGAGCACGCGACGACAGAACATGTTGGCGTACTTGACGGCGTTTCAGCAACTGGATACCGCGCTGTTGGTCATGCGACTGCGCGAGTCGCCGTACTTGACGTCGGAGAACTGGGTCAAGTCTCGCAAAAGCTGCTGTGTGTGTCAAGGCAAGTTCTCCATGTCCCGTCGGAAGCACCACTGTCGTCTCTGCGGTGACGTCGCGTGCTCCAAGTGCTCAGAGGTGCATCAGATCAAACTGGGCAAGGCAGGCAAGTGTCCTTTCCGAATCTGCGTCAACTGCGTGCATGGAATGGATGACAGTCAGCGATTGAGCAAGGATCGGACGACTGCGCAGGTTCAGAATCCAGGTCAACCGCCCAGGACACCAGTGAACAGCATCAAGGCTCTGCGTCGTCGACTTGGGAGTGGCAATGTACTACGGAACCCGGAGGATGATGATGAGTACAGTCGAGCGCTGCTGACGAGCTCGAATAGTGGCGATGGCTCGGACGTATATGGTTCGCGAAGTCTGCTGTCATCTCACACGTCGGGAAGCGAAGACCGGACGTTGTATAGTATGTCGGAAGGCACAACGAACAGCTTCAGCAGTAGTCATGGCCTCGGTGGTTTTAGCAAAAGCGGCAGCTCCAAGACGCTGAGCATTCGTGGCAGCAGTCTCGGTGGCAGCTTCTACAAGCCGAGCAATGCAAGCAACGCGACAACTGTGAGTAGTTCTCGAGGCAGTCGCTTTGATTACGAGAGCGAGAATGACGTTGAAGGGAATGACGGTGGCGGCAAAGACGTGGATAGCGACACGGAGAAAGCGACGGAAGAGATTCGACGTCCGTCTCGAGAAGTAGAGAAGGAACCTGAAGTGGACATGAGCATGGATCTTGACTCGATTGAGGCAATTGAAGTGGAATCTGACTGCTCGTCGACACCATCTTCACCTAGCAGTGTCGTAATGCAGAGCGATCAGTTCTATAAGCGGTTTTCCGAAGTGTCGCTGATGGATTTCCACGACTCGGAGTTTGACTTGTCCATCAAGGGCGGTCTTCCTAGTAGCAGAGGTGGTCGGTTGACGAACAAGTCTGTGCTGGAGAGTTTTGATTTCGACGACTCCGAGGCTGACGCTGATTCGGACCGAGAAGACCTGGATGGTATCGGCGAAGAGGAGAACGAAGACGACGACGACGACGACGACGAAGAGGATATCTGTGACTTTGACATTCGCGAACTGGATGGGACTGACCAGGATGATAGCCAGGATGAAGACGAAGACGATGGCATGGAATTTCACGACTCGAACGTCGGGATCGACTTCAAGTTGCAGGATCTGAACTTGCAGGATTACCACGGCCTCGACGATCTTAAAGAGGGCGACGAAGAGTATGATGAGGAGATTTTGGAAGAGATTCATACCGACATGGTGCTCGGCAGGTCAGGTGCAGATATATCCGTAGGCGAAGCGCGTGCTACTCGTCTTGCAGAGTACGGCATCATGGACTCGGGCAAGGAGAACATTTACGATCTTGTCGCCAAGCAGGCGGCCCAGCACGCGAGCTGTTCGCTGTCTACGATCAGTTTCGTGGATGCCCGACGCGAGTTCATCAAGTCTAGCTTTGGACTGACACATGAGCTGAGCGAGGTCCCTATTTCACACTCGCTCACTGCAGAGATCATGCGGCGCTTCCCAGCTGCAAAAGCTCCTGCTGCTCACCGTGGAAGCAGTAGCGGTGGAAACGCCGCCGAGGGTGATGCTGAGGTTGTGATCGTGCTGGATGCAAGGCAAGATACTGTTCTGTCTACTAATTTATTCGTCAGTGAGGCACCCAAGTTGCGGTTCATCATGGGTGTGCCGTTCCGAGCACGCGATGGTATTGTGCTCGGGGCGCTTATTGTAGCAGACGCTCAGCCTCGCACATCAGTGACACCGCGGCAGTGCTCGCTACTGAAAGATCTGGCTGAGCAGGTAAGTGCCTTGCTCGAGGACTTGTGGACACGGAACCAGGAACGCACCAAGTTAGCCGGTTCGCAGCCTGGTCAGATGCATGACAAGCTTGCGGACTTGCTCTCGCAGTCGTATACCACCGGTTTGCAGATGCAGCAGAACGAGTTGAAGATCCTGGAGCAATCGACGTCAACATCGGTGAGCTCCACGATGCATAAACCGCTGTACACGAAGGACTTTCAGCACATGCAAAGCGTCGAGTTATGAGTCCGTGCAAGGACTGAAGGACGGCAGGTTTGATCTACCACCCGTACACCCAAATGTGCCCACGTGAGTCGGAGAAGAAGAGTCTAGTCGGGTTGATTGCAACCTGGCATGGCACTAGCGTTGGAGCGCCAAGGAGAATAGCCAGCGAGCGGCAAACGACGCCGTACGTTGAGACCGCTATTATTTTATGTAAGCACCAGTGCACCCAAACACAGCCCATCCGTGCTGCAACGAAAGGAATACAGCATCTAATTATTGTAGTCACATTGTACGTGCATTGAGGTGAAGGTACGTCTGGTTGAGTCCACACGGTACGTCTTCAGAAAAAAGTCGGAATTCGATTGAGCTGGCTGCTTTCCAGCATAAGCTGCACAAAGTTGTGAACGGCTGGTATAGAAAATGTATTGGGAATTGGAGGAAACCGTAGGGTAGACGTGGTCCCGAACGTGTCAGACTTCACCTGGTCGATCTACTGAAGACCAGATTTGGACCGTAAGTTCGTTCAGCTTGAACGTCGCGGTTCAAGTGGTGCCGGAATGCATTCCCGAGATTCCAGGGACATGCTAATTGTCGATCAAAGTGTTGTCGACGACGCTGTTGCTGAGTATTCATAGCTTGTCCATTGCGCAGTAGCTGAAAAGCTGTCGCGTTCGTCTTCAATCTGTCGGATGATCATGTGCTGAGTGGCAATAACCAGGTGAAAAGACCTGGTGATGCCACCGGATGAACACCTTACGCGAGCTTTGGTCATGTCGTTTGTCGACACGTGTCCAAAGGTGTTGTTATCATAGAAGGCAATGGTAGATATTGCTAAACTACTCGTGTGGTTGACGACGTCTGACAGGTCCCGAAGACTGTTGCATTGATGCATCGTCTTCTTCTTGTGATACCATGACGCCCCCGTTACTCCTTCGTCATTATGAGAGACATCCACACTATCATGCCATGCACGTACTCATTTCTACCAGAAGCATACCACAAGTTTGACGTGTGCTGTTGCGTTCGAGTACGCAGCATGTTCCATGATCCAACAATTCAGGGAAAAGCCGTCCCTTTGTTCTCGATTTACGGTGCTCTTGGACGGCACGTTGTACGTACCGAGTCAGCTTCCTGCTTGAACTATCCACAACATCAAAGCTTACTTGATCCCGGTGTGGTTGAATTCGTCACATTATACTTTTTACGGCATCTCCCAGATGGTTTGTTGGTGGAAGGCATGGTTATTCAGCTGTTCACCCGTTACCAATTCCGGTTTCGGCCCCCGGGGGGGTTCGAACCCTCAATCGGCAACTTGGAAGTCAGCTTACTGCGCCACTACACCAGGGGTCCACCCCTTGATCCCGGTGTGGTGTCGTTGTTCGCTTCAAGTCTAGACCCGACGAGCTATGCACGTGATTATTTCGCGTCAGCAGGTGCCTTTTGTGCCCGCAACGTCAAACAAAACACCGTCTTCATCGACTAATACAAAGGGGTGAACCACCGGACTGGACGGTGGACGACACAGGCAGGCGATGGTAGCAGACAGGTTCTACGCTGATGCACCAGGGCCGAGAAAACTTAAAGTGGATACAGCACGTCATCACAATAGTCCGCTACATTTGAATATGGACGGACAGAAGTGCGGTGATGTTCTTTGCGGTCGATACATCAGTAGTAGTACATTGCAACAGTAGAGAGGTACGTGATCGTCGCGGAGCCGAGACATTTATACGAGAGACAACCTCACTGTTTGCCTCGAATGCTCGTACAACGACCTAGAGGACACCAACTCTTTTTCAGGATGGTAGTCACGGCAGGCCATCGGGAACTCTGGCGCTCACACTCTGGCTCGAGCAAGTTGTAATACACATCGTTAACTCTAGATCCACTTCTCGGAACAAGCTTCAGTTGCAAACCAAGCACCGACTGCACGACGACGTAGTAGGAACAACAAAGTGGATGGAGATAACAGCGACTGCACACAGATGCTGCTCCATCGATCTCTCATCAAATCGGTCGAACACTTCTCGTGAACTTGGCTCAGGATTACAGACGATGCACGCATAAGACGTGCATCGTCCGTTACGAAACGTCCTTGTTGTTGCTGGATAGTTTTTCTGCCTTGATTTCCACTGCCGAAACGAGTTTCTCACCGCACTTATTCGCTTGAGATATGCTGCGGCGTCATGTACGTGATCGTAATCTCGCACGCTTGCTACCCGATGTTGTAAATGGGGTTGAAAGCGAAAGACACTTGTGTTTTACTGGAGAAGTACTGGGTCTGCGACGAGTTCTAGTTCCCACATCGAGGTCTCGAATCCGAACGATTGTTCCTGGGTTCAAAACTTTCACAAGATCTCGCACATCGTAACAACATGCGAGTAGACAATCGCGATCTGTCGTTCAGTCATCAGTCCAAAGAGCGGTAGGTAGGTAGGAAGGCATAGTACAAAAGAGGGAAGAAACAGTCGAACGTACGACGCAGCCGAGCAAAGTAGAGACTCTACATCGTCTACTCAAGCGTTAATCCCACTGCTGGTAGCTGCGTAGCTCAGACATTGAGACTACGTTAGATGCTCAATGCCGGGCCAAAAACCGCAATCGACACCCGCAATCATGAGACGCCTCTGATCTACAAGTACGTCACGCCCGTGTCTCGCGTCCGTACAGAGGTACGACAACTACTCTATCATTACAAACACTGGCGCATGAAGCGAGTCGATTCACGCCATTCTTATGCATAGTTTCCACATCCTTTCAACCTTCTCGTCGCCTCTTAATATCTTCGCTCCTCCTCCCTATGATTTCACACTTTAACGAAAAGACGCCAAGGACGAGGGTCGTCTGGCGGTCATTGAATTATGTATCAGTCGAGCTCGCGGCATCGTCGTCGCAGTAGCTTCCACTCTCCTTTTGTAGCGGAGCTACACAGCTCCTTAAGTCAGAGGAAGACTTAACGCTCTACGAGCAACTTAGTTTCAAAGAACTAACGACTTTACGAGTCAGCAAGCTTTACAGCTTCAGATCCCTGTTCCAGGGGACCTAACGATTCAGTGAATCGACAGCACTTAGTGCTATAGAGTAGCTACCTCAAGGAGGTGTTGCTAACTCTTAGTGATCAGAGATCAACGATCAAGACGGCTCGCAAGCCACGCGTCTTTCAGATCAAAATGGGAACTGATTTTATTTAATGTTAAAGCCTATAGAATATCTTAATCCTACTCAAAGATCTTTCGTATCTAATGGCTGACACTTGTCAGCCCCTACAAACCGATAAGATATTCTATATCACCTTCACAGAAGCGAACCCTCAGGTGTGTAACACCTCTGGTACAAAGTACCATGATTTCGTGCAACCCCGTTACACCCTCCCCCCACCAGACTGACGTTTACCCAAAACGTCAATCGAACTCGTATTCTCAGCGAGAACAGTGCGCGTACGGTGAAACTCACGGTAACGTACGCTCTAGCACGATGTCCTCATCACCAAACGAGTCAAAGGCTCTGTGTGACTACCTCGGAATAGAGGAAGAGGTGGACTATGGTAGCGATACCAGTGTCCGCGGTGACACAGGGACAACGTCCGGCTCACTGATGCCTGAGGCACAACTTTCGAACACCCCAAATCCGTTCGCTGAACGTGGAGGTGCGAGCGCGCCGCCAGCGCAGCGTGCAGCATCTGGGTTTGATGAGACTATCATCGCGAACCCGCTCGATGAGCAACAACAACTGCTTGTTCAAAGAGAACAAAACGCTCAGCGTTATGCACAGATGACTGCAACCCTTGAACGCCAGCGTGATTATGTGTTCACCCCACCCAGTGTGGAGGAACGTCTGCGTCAAGCGGCCGGCCAAACATTGGCAACGTGGGTCATTGGCCATGGGCCTAAGACTCCTGAGGAGGTGGTGAGCTGCCAGGCACTTCGTGAGAGGTACCTGGAGCCGCACCTAACGACTCAAAGTCAATACAAGGCACGCCTTGACATGCAAGCACGTGGTGCACCAGTTCCACCGATGAAGGGTATACCCATTCTCCTGCTCGCAGGCGAAACAGCGAGTGAAGAAGACGATGCCTTTGTTCACTGGGTGCACTATGTGCGTCGCCTCAGCAACATTTTTGCTCTAAGGGCTAGTGCCCATGCGGCGGATGTGCGTCTCGAACGCAAGCTTCGGTATGATTATGCCAAGCTTAAGGCCAGAGGCCAATTGCGCAAGCGCACGCGCTATGCTTCGGCTACTAAGGTAGCCGCGAGTGCTGGTCAGTCTGTGACCAACAACCCGCCAACCCGCACCACTAGTGGTGGTGAACGGCCTCGGCCTCGCGATGACCATGGCCACGATGCTCAAAAGCCTCCAAAGCATATGGGCAGTCTTGCCGAAGGGGTACCTCAAATTCCCATGAGTTTTCAGACTCAGGGTACCCACGCCACTTTACCAGATACTGATATTGGCCCTGACGACGACGTCGTTTCAGTAGTCTCTCGACATGGAATTGACGACACCCATGCTCATCGAGCAACGTCGGTGGCGGCCGGTGTACCGGTGGAGGCCCACGAGAAATTGGTTCTCGAAGTGAGGGGTCTTCAAGCGGCCTTGGGTAAGTCCCAGTGCATGCTGGATGCGATGCAAAACCGCCTTCAGGCGATGGAGCAAGCTCAAACTCGGAGCGAGGCTCAGTTGGACTTGCTGATTCGTCTACAGCAATCCGGGGCGGTGCCCTTGTCGTCGGCGCAAGCGCCTCCAAGTTCACATGGGAAGGATCCCGGTACGGCTTAAGTAAGCCTACGTAGAACACTGGATGTGTGCGCAATTTGCGTGGGAGGTTTAGCGTATACGCAAGTCCCTTTGGCCGTGACCGTGAACGGTCCAATAAAGCGTGGACGCAACTTTGTCTTAAAGACAGCAGACACTACATTTGTAGGTAGATTTTTAGCATTGAGTAGTACTTGGTCTCCGACCTCATAACGTTCAATACAATTTCTGCTTTTGGCATCAGCTTGTTGTTTTTGGGTATCTTGGCT